AGCCAGGGAGCGGGGGCAGTGCCCTCCTCCCTTCTCTCCTCACTCCTGGGCAAAGCACCTTTTCCAGTTCCTTTGTCCCGACTTAAACAGGGATATTCGCAGAGGCGCCCTATTGGCTCAACCCCGAGAGGGATGGGAGTCTGATCTGGTGGCCAGAACCAAGTCTAACCCAGTTCCAAAACCGGGGAGGTCACAGGGAGCAAAGCCCCTCTCCTGCCACCAGAACCCCCACCCCCTCCACATCAAACCATGACAGGGGTGGGCAGCAGCTTGTCTTGCACAACCAGCGCTGCAAAGCACGTAGTTGAGTGCTGCACAGGTGTTCCCCACGTTGAAGTGGCCCCAGGCCACCAGTTGGGCCACATTCTGCACATTGCTGGAGTCGGACACATAGCAGGGGTTCTTGCCCTCCAGCGTCACGGGTGTCAGGTGCTTGGCAGCAGCTGCCTGTGGGCAGAAGCAGTAGCATGAACCCAGCGTGGTCAAGACCTCCCAACGGATCCACGCCTGTGTCCCTGCCTGGAAGAGAGAGATGGGACTGGAGTGTCTCTGTGGGATGTACTGGTGAAGAAGATGTAGTCAAACTCGTTCTCCAGCAGTCTGGTGGCCTCCACGCCAGCGGTCACCACAGCAAAGGAGTTCTGTGACACGATAGGGAGCCTGGCACCAGAGCAGGGCAGGAGCAGAGGGAGCGCATGGGTGGGACGTGGCTCGGCCAAGTGCATTTGGGACATAGGGGCAAGTGTCCAAGGAGAGGGAGGTGGCTGCAGGGGAGGGCTCTCCTACCTTGTCCAAGTACCTGGGCAGCGTCTTGGCTACTAACCTCTCTGTGGTTCTGCTGATTTCAGAGTTTCATGGCAGCGCAGTCACCTGCAGGACCGGAGCTCCCTCTTGGGGAGGACCTTGCTATGGGGAGCAGAAGGCCTGCCCCCAGTGCAGCTCCACCACCATCACCCCATTCCCACTCCAGAGAGGGCACAGGACTTGTCCCCAGTGAGGTTCTGGTACCCCCCAGCATGTACACAGCCCAGCCTCACCAGCAGTGATGGCCTCAATGAGGGGCACCAGGAGGAGGTTACTGGGGTAGTTCCAGGGTCCGATGATGAGCACCAACCCATATGAGTCTTTGCAGATGAAGGCTGAGTCCAGCTGCCTCACCCGCAGAGGGAAGGATGGTGTGAGGACACATGCCTCCCATCCTGCACGTCCCTGGCTAGCCACTGCTCCATAGCCACTTCTCCACGTGCTTGTCATTCATCCAGGTGCCCAGGTTGTTGAGCATGTGGTTGAGCTCACCCCTGCAAACAGATCTTGGAGAGCTCCCCTTCAAAGGGCAGCTGGGGACACACAGGAGGTCATCATGGGCACAGCCTCATAGCCACCCCATGGTGGCTCTCCTCACAGAGGTCAGCACGGGGTCTCCTGGCAGCGATAGCAGGATGTGACCATCTCGGCTGGGGCAGATACCCCCAGGGACACCCTACAGCATTGCAGTGGCAAGGATGGGTGGCCCAGCCGCCTCCCCAGCATGCCACCCGCATCACAGCATGCTGCCTGGCCCCATGTCAGCAGTAGAAGGCCATGACTGAAGACATGAATTCAGTATGTCAAGAGCTTCAGCTACACCAGACGCAGCATGATGCAGACGCAGTTCTGGAGATGGACATGAGAACAAGGGCCCCTGATTGCTTTCAGTGAAGGCTCCTCCAGAGCTAATTCATCCCGTTTCTGTGCAGCCAGAGGGGGTTGCTGTATGGTTCCCCCTGAGGAGCGTCCCCAAAGGCTAAGCTGAAGATAACTACAAAAAACTAAGGCTGCCACTTCTCGGGTGCAGTGGGCTGGCCCTGGCCAGCATCGAGTGCACACCCGGCCATTTGCCACTACCCCGCAGCAGGACAGGGAGAGACTCGGAAAAGCAAAAGCAAGAAGACTTGAGTTGAGATATGGACGGTTTTATAAGTCAAGGAAAGAAGGTAGAAAAAAGTCAAGCGATGGAAAGGAAAGCACTCCCCATCTCCCACCAGCCACCCTGGCCATGGTGGTCTCGTCCAAGACGGTGGCCTTCAGGATGTCCTGCTACTTCTCGTCCAGGAAGCATCCCAGGGCCTGCAGCTGGGCCACATGGTACTCCATGGACCACGTCTTTCCCATGCTACATGCTATGCTAGGTGGGACATGTCCAATGAGAAAATGGTGTGGACCTTTTCAGGGAAGAGCCCCCAAGGTAAGGGGCAGTTAGGGGGGCACAGGCAGCAGGAGGTGACCACTGGCATCACCCCGGAGCACCCCACCATCCCTTTGACCCCTCCGCCACGGTGGGGCCAGCAGCGACAGAGCAGCAGGCTGCGGCATCAGGTGTGGCTGGAAACCACGAAGGTGTCCAGGGGGTTGTGGGGCTTGTGCGGGGCACAGGGACTCCCTGGGGGGGCTCCCCCCTACCTTCTGCCCTCCCACAAGCCCCACCCCTCCCCAGTTCTCTCCCTCCTCTTGGCCAGTGGGCTCCATCTCGTGCCCTGATTGGTAAGTTTCCATGCAGGCAGGGGCAGGCAGGAGGTGGAAGGGAAGCAGCCAGAAGGTCTCTGGTTGCATTGTGGGGCTTGTGCGGGGCACAGGGACTCCCTGGGGGGGCTCCCCCCTACCTTCTGCCCTCCCACAAGCCCCACCCCTCCCCAGTTCTCTCCCTCCTCTTGGCCAGTGGGCTCCATCTCGTGCCCTGATTGGTAAGTTTCCATGCAGGCAGGGGCAGGCAGGAGGTGGAAGGGAAGCAGCCAGAAGGTCTCTGGTTGCAGGGAAAGGCCTTTCATTGCTTATGGCCGCCGAAATCACCGCAACCAGCGGCAGAAGACATCATGGGGGCA